TTTCAAAGAACTTGGAGAGCAAGCTGCTATTTGCGAATGTCTTCTCTGTTCATGTTTTCACAGTCATAGGTAATCATACAAAACAAGACGTTTATCATAGCATCGCTGCTTCACTTTTAGTGAAGTACATTGAAAGTGCTTCGAGAAACTCCGGAATTCGTACCTTTAATGAGAATGTGGTTAGAGAGCGATTGTGAAAGTGATATCGTCCTCAGACGTCGTTTTATACAATTTCGCTATTTTTCTTCTATGTTCCAGATCAAATACCTAATTTTCAAATAATTTTGATATTCGCTACGGAGGGAAAGCGTTTCAAAAGGGGCTGGGTTTGGCGCGGCGCAAGCCCGTTTTCTACCCATTCTGGGGAATGGCAAGCGACCTTATGCTATTGGTGGTATACTGGCTGGCCCTGCGTGAAATCCTGTTCCCCTTCCCCTGAAAAGCTTCAGCGTCCACAGCAAACAAAACTGTATGCCGCACTACCGTTTATCACTTCTGTCAGTTTCTCCTGCTTTTCGAGGTTGATAGGGGGAAGAACCATTGAAGTGGCCTTATGTTCCGAGTGAACTGTGGTCTCGCCCAGAGTTCCATACTTAGGGTTGAGAAGAGTTGTCTTGTAAGCTTAGCGAATAGCAACGTTTCTATTTCTTTCATTCAAAAGGCGGAACCATGGGCTTTCAATGACGATTCAGTCGAAACATTAGACTATTTCTATGGAAGTTCCTTTTATGAACTTTGAAAGAAAGCAAAATCACAAGAAAATGTGCTTAAAAACTTATATTAACATAAGTCTTTCAAGTTGCAAAAAAGGAAACATGAAAATAGCATCTACAACTTTTCATTGATGGCGTTGGAGTAAATTCCGTAAATGAAAAGTTAGGGGGAATGTTTGAGTGGGGTCTCAGACCAACATATGGCTTGAGGCTGAACCTTGTGCGGTTGTTTTCATTTGGTGGTACCAAAACATTCAAATATGTTCTCTACTTTCCATTCTGTATTCAGATTGATGCAAACATGTTCATGATGCAAAACAGCGCATGAATTAAAATTTGACTTCATATTGACAAACATTTATGAGTCACTTTGAGTCACTTTTCAGCTGTGGACTTTTTCAATCGTATAAATTTGATGTATGGTACAGTTTCGGATGTGTGCACTAAGGAATCCTGCCCGACAATGTCTGGAGGATCGAAGTTGGTTTAGCCACACTGATGTTTTGATTGAAGTTTTTTTGGCTGTTCTCCTTGGAACGGGTTGAGTGGGTTCAGGGGCATTTCAAGGACTCCTCATGCAAAACTGGTGCTATGGAAAGGAAGGTGATGATTCCCGCCCAAGCCTAGGGAGAGAAGGAGCCCGAGGTGAGTGAACCGATTTCTTCAGGTAAGCAGAATGGGCACTACAGTGATCACATTACATTAGTAAAAGGAGTCCTCAAAATGTTCCAAACAACTTTCTGCTTTACCTTTTCTTTTACCTTAACTCAGCAATTTTGTGATTGCTTTTTCATCGCGAGCTGAGACAAAACAAACAAAACATCTCTTTTCACTATTTCGCTGGGTTGAAGGGCTTCTGTCAGCCATGTTCTTTGCTGCGAGGGTCCGAAGTCCTTTCGCTTCGAGGGTAACTCCTCATCGCATCTTTTGACCGAGCTTTTAAGAGGGAAAAATGATAAAGGCTTTTAAGAAGAAAAATGATAAAAGGACGAGGGGGGGGAAGCAGGAAAGAAAGAGAGGGAAAAAAGGAGCGGGGATGAAAGGCATCGCGGTTGACAGATATACGGAGACCCTTCCGCTCTCAACAAATTGGTACTTTTCGGTTTTTTACGAGGACATATCTCTAGGACTCTATATCCCGAAGGTGGGAGGGGTGTGGCTTCAAATTGGCACTAGCTGCGGTTGCGCTTGTGGTGGGATATCGTTTTGGGACAATTGTAATGATGTCCTTGTCCAGCACAAAAAATCTATATCAGTTATCTTGAAAGGATCACATGAAAACGCATCCTAAACTACGCATCCTACGCTGTGTTGAAATGAACTGGGGGGGCACGCTTTTTCCTTCTTCGGGATATGAAGTGTAACTGTTCCAAGTGAAACGTATTTTGACTCAACCGGTATTTTTTTCCATAGGGTTCCCAAAGACAATTTACAGATATGAATATTTGTGGCAAGACGGTGCAGAGTACAAAAAACCGACTCGATTGTCTGCACCTGATTATATGGTATTGCTGATGGATTGGATTGAACTTAGAATCAACGATGAAGCTATTTTTCCGACATCTACCAGTATGTTTTTCCACTCTGCTTTTTCACAATGATTGTTTTTATCTAATGCCCAGTTTCCCACGCTATCTGCTCTTGAATATTTGCCCTGCGATATGACATTTTATTGTCCTGCGTTGTTTGTTCATGCTGCCATGTTTCATGGTGATGTTTCCTTTTGGGGTATCCTTTTATATAACTAACATTGTTCTTCTATACCTTTGTTCTTATTCTCTACTATCTTCCATTAACTTTTTAATTACCCCTCAAAAAGAGAGTATAATTGCTCCTTTCATGGTTTTGAAGAAGAGCCTCGCGATCGCATATTGTAGTCAGTTAAGTTCAGTTACGAAGGTATGGTCGCTAAGTGACCCTCCAGTAAAGGAACAAAAAGAAAAAAATAATGGGGAACACCCTAAATAAGGACCTCCTGTCGCTCACTGTACGAATTGTCAGGACCTGCTCGTTTATGCCAGCTGAGCGATATCCTGCCGCCTTCGGCTACTAATCGCTTCCTCGCGTCATCCAGAGCTAATACTATCTAATGGGAAAAAAACGTGGTATAAGAAGAGCTCGCAACAGAGACTAGCCTTTGAGTTTTGACGGGTGGAACAACTGGGGAGGCGTCAGAACTGTCACTTATTAGGGGCACAGCGCCTCGTCACTTACTGTAAAGCCGCGAAAAAGGTAAAATCTTAGAAACTGCAGGTCAGACTACTTGAACAAGGAAAGACGCCCACGAATTGGTTGGGCGAGGTCCGGTAAGACTAGTAAGTTCTTTGAAGAAAGCTTTCGTGATAAAAATGTCGTGGATAGTTGCTTTTCAGTTATGAAACAGTAGCTGATAAGTAATCCCCCAAAGAAGAAAAAGCAAGAAGAGTCCTCAAGAACACCATAAACAAAATCGCTCCCTGACAGTCACACCTCCCTGCGGTCTCTGTGCAACCCCTGGCTCACAAATCCTTTATCACATCTCCCAGTAGTGGGTATCATCCAATGCAATGAAAAGAATACGAAAAAACAACAAAAACACGGAAGAAAAACTCTTGAAAAGGAATGAAACTTTTCGAAACTAGGGCGTCTGAATTCAGTTGGTTACAGTAGCGCGCATCTTTTAGGGTAGTGTGGTGCTAAATGCCGTTTGGACTCCAGCAATTTCGGCACCGAGCTCATTTTTGAATTGCCTAAGTCACTATACCCGCTGAAAACATGTACACAAGGGTTATTTACCATCGTGATTACAATTATGACACTCATTCTTGGCGCTGGCGCCAAGGAATGACACTACGATTTTCTTAGCGGATTTTGTGACTTGGGCAATTTAAAAATGAAGCTCTGGTGGCCGAAATTGCTGAGGGGGACAACCCAGTAGTGCCAAACGCATTACGGCACCGTGCGTCGAGCTGTTTGCCACCACGAAAACACGGGTCGCCAACTGATTGTGTAAGCGCGTTTCCAGACTTGCAACGATGGGGTGGAGTTGACTGGATGTGCTCCTAATAATAAAATGTAATAAAGGAGAGCTGATCCATTCATGGGCACGAGCGCGGTCAGCAAAAAGGGCATGCAATTCCGATTAATGCCCGCCGCCCCAACAAAGAACAACTGAGCGCTCCTCCGTCAGAGGGCATCTAGCAAGTGGGCGGTCCAACTGGGCGGGCGTTAGAACTAGAACTTTCAGCAGCTGTAGCTCGCTCCTCGCTGTGGAGTCGCGAGAGTGGGACAGTCTCTAGCTTGGGGGCTGCACTACTTGCACAAGGAAGGACGACCATGTACTACTCGAGCGCGGGGGCTGTCGTTTTTAGTAACACTGAGTGACCTATACAGCAACTCCCGCTTCTTTGAGATTATCCAACACCCACATGTGGTCACTCAGTTCATTATGTTCAGTTCCTTCGTATTCGCGCATTCTTACGATGTTGTTTGAAAATAGTGCCCTATTTAATTGCGCTCTACTTGTTAGTACCTCCTCCCCAACCACTGCGGAACGTCGGGGGTGTGAAACCTACCGTTTTTCCTGATTACTTCTATTTCTTCACATTTTGACTGTTTTTCCCTTTGATAATCATTCCGTGTTTGCCAGACGTACCGTTTCCGAAAGATTTTCGTCAAGTCTGCAAGAAGATACTCACGCGTCTCTTCCGCGTTTTCGTCCACGTATACATTCATCACTTTGACCGTTTAGTCAACATCGGTGCTGTGAGTGTTCCTCTTGAATCATCATTGCTGTAATTTGCGTCAACCATTTTTTTTCTTCTTTTTTTCGTCTTTTTTCGGATACTTTTTCTCTCGTCGCGTTGTGAACCAATGGGTGTAAAAATGTTGCACTGTTGTGGAACATTCTGTGCAAAAATGTTACAAAACCCTCTTTAGGAGCCGCACGTTAACACATTGTACAAACATTTTTACTATTTTGTGACGGAACACAATATGGTTTCCTCAAAGGAGTTGGATGCATTAGTGAGTTCGATTTGATCTTCTTCTTCGAGATTAGCGGGCTCTGCAAGTTACCTTTGAAGAGCATTTATCAAATAACATTGAAAACATTAGTTGTACGGTAGGGCAAAGTGCTTTGCAGCTATGTA